CTTGCATGTTTGAGCTATGTTCTGTTTTCTCAGTCTTGGTCATAAAAAATCCAACAAATGCTTCACGATTACTGTCAGGTTGACGCATAATTCTTACACCAAAAGCTTTGAGTTTCCGTTACTATCTCCACCTACAACGTAATCTTTTGATTTGATGCATGGCAGAAAATCTTGCGCTTTCCACATGTGAATGAATCAAAATTCTTTGTTGGCATATGGCAACGATACAAACTGCTCAAGAAAATGCAAACAATTTTTTCAAATTTTGGTTGCGAAAAGTCCTGGAAGTCTACTAAGATTTGAACTCATTCTTGATCTTGATTTTAAGATCTACTTTTGGAAACAAGTTCTAACTGATTGGCTATCTCTCTGATTAGTCATGATTTCATCTTCCAACTTTTTATTTTCTTTTGAAATGATTTATTGGTATACATAACAAAGCACACATTTCTTCTAGGTTAGGTTCGTTTAGGCATCTTTGGAACAAATGTTCTGTATTTTATGATGAAAGAATTGTTCATCAATAAAGCAGTACTACTATGTGTGTACCGTATGATGACCAAGCAGATAAGGCAAGGTAAATAAAAAATTTTAGTTTCTGGCCCCATTACTTGGATGATGACTTATTGTTAGATGGATCTCTGGTGTTCGTTTTGTACAGCCTGCCACACTTTTCAAATGGTAGCCTATGTCTGCGAGAAAAACAAAAACAAACTAATTTATTAAAAAAAGGGGTTTGCCTTTGGGAATAATAGCTGCTCCGATTCATATATAGGATTTTTGTAAAATTTTTGACTAATGCGAAATGTGCAGATGTCGAAATTGCCGCTTTTGCCACTCAAAAAAATTTGTTCTGTAAAACAAAAGTTATCAGATTTGCTTTGGAAATAAGGAGCGGATTTTGCATTACTGTCTTTCGAATGGTACAAATACGTAAGCCAATGGCTATCATAAAACGATAACAAAAATAAGAAGGCCATAATTTATTAAAGACCTTATGGGTTGATGAGTCTGACGTAGAATACAGTTCTGCGATGACGACATCACACAATATCTGCGCGTGACGATTTCTAAGCGTGTAGTGTTACAATTTACATGTAAAAACGGTAGTGCAATGCTCATTGTTAAAGGTAGCGGCTCGGCAGAATGGCAACTTTGGGATATTCATTGTTCTCGGTTTCTCTGGGTGAAATAAGTCCAAGACTGTGCTTTGCGGCTTCGAAAGGTATCAATAACCCGCTTTTCCGGTCTGAAAGTGATATTTGGGCGGACAGCGTAGCCCCCCACAGCGCGATTGGCTCATTGGAGACACCGTACCCATCTCGGCGGCGGTTGGATTATTGGCTCCAGCAGTCACTTTCGCGACCCGCCTAACACCGTCTGGAAAAGCGGGTTATTGATATATTTTGAAGCTGCAAAGCACATTTTTGGACTTAGCTCGTCCAGGGGAACCGAAAACGATAAACATCTTAAAGTACTCATTCTGCCGAGCGGCTGCTTTTGAGTCTTACACCGTGAATCTGTTTGCGCGAAATGTTGTTGACAAATGTGTACTTCCAGAGACAACACATTTATCGCCATATTTACTAGCCTACTTGACAGTATTTTCTAAGGCACTTCAACGGAACGAAAATGTGAGATTGGTGTTCCTGCCCATTCAGAGCTTTTGGATTATCAATCTAACCTCCTGCCCTTCTAAGTGGAAGATCAGCAAGCTTTAAAAGACGTTTTTACTGGCTTCAAAAGTTTGGGTAACCTGCTGACCCTCGCCTACTTCATGTATTTGGTAAATACAAAAACGTCTTCACTGTAACATCTATTCAGGCATCTTGACATTCAGCCCTGCAGTCCGAGTACTGACAAAATTAGGTTTTCTTCTTTACAAGAAACTGTTTGAATACACCGTTGATGGTTGAGAGTGGTAAATACTAATGGTTAGTTTTTGTACTGGCACAGGGTGCTTCCAATTTTGTGAACTAGCAGTAGTGGTAAGGAATTTTTTCGTAAATAGTACCTGTTAACAAAGCACTCTTGATACCGAACTGCTAACTCTTGCTAAATCAATGCAATTTTTTGTAGCTTTTCTTCCCAAAAAGTCCTGTAGGATTTATGATTTAAATTCACTAGTACCGTACATCAAATCGGTACGGTAGAGAATCAATTCCCTCAAAATCAATTCCTCTCCCTAGATGCTCCATTACTTCAAAATTTTTTAGCAACGCAGACGTTTCACCACGTAAATTTCTGGCGAAAAAGATTCAGGAATGTTTATCTCAAGTAATATAAAGGAGAGTTTTATACATAATTCTATCAGATGTATGATAATTGAACTCCTACTTTGTTTTTAGTGATTTAAAAGTTACGAGGTTTTAATTAGTCATCGATGTGCTACATAGTTGACCGGGAACAAATGACTGTCCCTTGCTCGATCGCGACAGAAGTTATAATGTAGGAAACATATCATTTGTTAGGAGAAAGCAAGCTCTACAAGATGGCATCCCAAGATTCGCAAGAATCTTACTTTACATGAAGTTAAAAAGCAAAGTCTAAAAAAGTAAAAGAGAAGAAAAGATAAACATACACCTGTACTTATGAAAGTCTGATGTGGACCGTATATTTGGACGGAGATCAGGGCCGGTAGTGATCTGTGGAAACTCCGAGTTTAAGCTGCGCGTTGACTTAGAGTTTTTGAGTCTCGTTTTGGATCTCCGAGTTAACTGCGAGTTTCGTATCTCAACTGAAGTATTGTTTTACTACTTGAGGGGCCTCTAGGTGTTGAGAAGCCGCTATAAACATCATCGTTCACTTTTTGTGTAGTTGCGGCTATGAAGTAATCCCCGTAATCAAGTTCTCACATGTCAAGACATGTCGAGAGGTTTTGCTTGTTTTTGAAGCGCCTGGACATAGAGTATCCTGCAGATTCTTACAATAGCAGGATGAAACATGGACATAGACCCTAATCCAATAATCCGCCCCACTCCACTCTCCCTTATTTTAGTATGCCGCTAACTTGATAAAAACAAGAATTTTTACTTATATTTATTTCGAATGACCCATGTCAAAATTTTGTAATAATATTTAGAGATCACTTGAAAATGGAATGTTATTCAAAATCCAAATGATCTCTGAATAATACAATAACTTCGAAATAATTTTCCAAAGGTTACTGTTGACAGGAGAATAAAATATCTTCGAAAAAAACTTTTTTGAAAACTGCTGCCTAATGTCATTGCTTCTTTGCTAAGAATCAACTCAAGCTAAGATTCTCACCTTCTTCCGTATATGCTAACCGTAACTTACATAATCTTCATTGGAAACTGATATACCCTCGATGTCATCCCATATGTCTTCCCTCAACATGACGTGGATTTCGTGGCTTGATGAGGCGCCGCCTCGCCTCGGCCTTGCGCCACGTTGCGTGCGCATCTTCGTCGTGATGTGGCAACAAGAAGAACGTGGAAAAGCCTGGGCCACGTTGTGTTGAGTGCCACGTCGCGCCAAACGATGCGCTCGCAAAGTGGCGCGAGTCCGAGGCGAGGCGACGCCTCATCAAGCCACGTAATCCACGTCATGTTGAGGGAAGACATATGGGATGATATCGAGGGTACCTATCATTGCATTGCCAAATGAACGCAGACTATGTTATAGATCATACGCAGACTACTCAGAATCTTGGTTAGTTTACCGTACATTTACCATACCGCTATACAACGCTGCAGTAAAATTTGCAATATGGTCGTTAGCACACCATATAACGCCACTGAGCCAATCTCTGGATATTCACAATCAACGCACCGAATAACCTCGCCAGACCATGTTTTAGTCAATTCCATGAGATCTTCTTGCCTACGGTAAGCTCATTGTAACCCCGCTCGGCCGTGTAACGAAAAATGAAAATCATACTCGGAATTACCATGCGAAAAAAAACCCTGTCCATAAAAGTTTATTCAACTGCGTGATTTCGGCTAACCACCGTATAGCCGTACCTTATCAAATGGACCTGCAGTGTGAAATGAATGTCATACTCGTGATCAGGTGCCAAATAATTTTACTGTACCAAATTTCGAATTTTTATGACTTTTGCGATCAGCTTGTTGAATAACGCCCAGGGCCAAAATTCCACAGTATCTTGAAATGTTGTCTTTAACTGTGTACCACGATACCCCCCATGCTTGCTGAATGAGTAAGTTGTACTCTAAAAGACATTTTACCTACTCCTTCTCTTCTGCACCCTATTCCTCTCTCTCTAACCAAATTCGGAGTCCACTCTGAGTTTCACGACAGTCTGGAAGTCGCACCAAACTCAAGCTTGACGCGAAGCTCAACTGCGCGTTTCGCCGCGTAGCTTCTTGCATGGAGCGAATTACGTTATGTATCCATACGGGATAAAGACTTCTTCCGGGGCATCTTACTACATCAATTCTCAAATTGGTTTGTTGATGGTAACGGGAAAGTGTGCGGCATTTTGAGCGCGCAGTTGGCCGACGCTATGGGCGTAGTTATTTGTTCACGCGCAAATTTTACGCATTCCACCTGCTGTGCAAGCACACTATTTTGAGCGGACTACTCGACTCTACCGATCTTGATTTTTGGGTATTTGAATATTTTCACATTTTGCTTTCGAGGTTTACGTAGCTCACTTTCTGCACTTGTTCAAATGCCATATTTCTCATCTTACTTTCCTCTATTGAATAATATGTTTCCTACATCTTCATAGGCCCCTTAGTTGTGCGGAAATTAATGGCCGTTCCTTGCTCTCTAGCGCAAGGGACGGTCATTAAATTCCGCACAAACCTTCCTGTTGAAAAAGCGGCGATAGCTGGTTAGTGTATCTCTTCTGAAAGCAACTATTTTGTTCTTGAAACAACGGGTTTATCAAAATATGCGAAAAAGGAATGCTGTATCAAGCCATTACGACAAGCAGAGTGGGATTCCTCCCATTTTTTTAAACGTACTTTGTGATCAGCTGACACAACTTGATAATGAAAAATTTCACTTACAGCAGTGTTGCAACGTCTTTGCGACCTTTGGTCAATTTGACGGTCATATTGCCAGGCCGGAATGGGTTTCCTTTGTACATTTCCGAGAAGTCATCACCTGTTCCTGTTTTAGAAAATTTGCAGTCTTCATACGCGCTGGAATAAAATGCGACTGGATTTTCGTTCGCACGATTGTATTTGATATTTCCCTTTGCGTCCTTCGAGTCTTTTCTCACCACCAGCAATGCAATAGTAACCGTCCGTCCTTCCCACTTCCAATCAGCGTCCCAGTAATACCAATGCCTCCGTGACCGGAAATGCTGTTTATCTTTGCAGTGGGAATCGCATCTTTTTTCAGTTCCTCTCCCAGTGGCAATGTCAATTTGAATAAGACAGATATCTATAGCTTGGAGGTCGCTTCCTGGTGCAGCTCCTTCGCACACATAATCACTGTCTACGTCCACCTGAAAAAAAAACTTTTGCAACATTTTTCATCATTTATCACTGCTGTGATTTTTACAGTAGACAGATTTGACGAAAATGCATTTTTTCATGATTGTGCTTTCTTTTTTACTACTAGTACATACACTTGATGCATAAACCGAAGAGCTCCGAATTTAGATGTAAAGTTTAGATGTGCTAAACTCCAGTTGCTACATATTCATATCGCAAGTAGGCAGCAGTATGATATAGAGCTCGCTTTAGAAGCTTTTTTTTCGGCTGCCAATATCATCAGCAACTACTAATCATATCCAGTAAGCTGCGTCCTAATCAATTCGTGATGGCAGAAAAACAATTCTTACCTTCGCGCTGTAACATTTAGATAACCTTTGGTTGAGAAAGAATCAAAGAAGAACACAAAAAAATCGGTAAAATCAATCAAACCTGACTAAACCGAGAAGTAAAAACGAGCAGGCGCGGATCTTATTCTATAGCTGCCTAATGGTACTTCAAAGAACAAGGGAATTACTCTTAGAGGTCATAGCCGTCTGATATGAGATGCATATCATCCAAAGCAGTCTTAAATGCTGATTTCAAGCTGATTCCGTTTTTACGGAACGTTCTTTTGAAACGAATTATAGAAGCTTGGAAATTTCGTTTTTGGGCGCTTCTGAAGTTTGTGATAGCTGCTATACAGGTTAGTGGTGCAGTGGTGTAATGATTGAAGTGAGAGCTACGGGCATGTAATAAGAGCCCCGAATGCGATTCACTGACCTTTCGTTTAGAGGCGGAAGATCAGTAAATCGGATTCGGGGCTCTCAACACATGCACACAAAATTCTCTTTCAAAGGTCAAATATGCTTTAAAAAATGGTGTAAGTGTTGTGGACTGTTTAAGTTGCGTATCTAACTCACACTCAGACTAAAAAACTTTCCGCTCTTCAACGGAGTCGAACCTTGACCTCTTTTCTCAGCGTCAGCACGCTAACCACTACACTGCTGCACCATTGACGTGAATGGTTGCGTATATTCAAAGAGCGCCAAGAATTAAGATTTTTGGGCTTTCAAAACCCTTTTAAAAGAAAGTTCCGCGGAAACGGAATGCAGATTTGAAAGCAGCGTTCAAGATTGCCTCAGTTATTTGCAGCTCACGTCAAAAGGCTATGACTTCTGGAAGTTCCTCCCTTGTAAACTAAAGCCTATAATTGCGAATTTGAGCAAAATTCGCAAAAATCACAAAAATTATTCATTAACATGAATTGATAAACTAATTTTTCTTAACATAAGGAAGGGATGCAGGAAAATAAGAGTGCCTGGAACGAATATGTATATCCGGCTTTGATAATAATTTCTTGTTGGGATGGAACTCTACTTTAAAAAAGTCATACCACGGAGTAGCTAGCCTTGGAAGGAGGAAGAAAGGAAAGTCAGAGTGAGCCTTCTTCCTAATATAGAGGAGTGACAAGCCTTTCCTCTAATAATTCATTAGTCGGAAGGACAAGAGGATGGTAAGAGGGCGGTAAATTCGTGCGTGTAAATAGCTACGCCTGTGACGCCTTCCAGTTGCGCGGGCAGAATACCGGCATTACTGGCGTCGCTAATTATCTATGCGCAAATTTTACTTTTCATCTACAATGCAAGCACACTACATTAAGCGGCTCTACACGACTGTAAGTGTTTCAACACGTACACAAGCGGGCGACCAGTCACACCGGAATAGATGGCAGGGAATTTTATACATTTCATTTGGTAATCGACGCCAGGGCTAGCAAACCGACTTGAATCGCATGGAATCGCAGCGACTCGCTCACGCGGCAAACGTCGTCTCGTGCCTTTTTGCTGCCGCCACATGGTTATCGATAGTCAACGTGGCGGAGGCATATACATAGTCGGCTTGTCGCACCGGCAGCATGACACGCCGGATCGACAAGACAGCGCCAGCGTGCCCGTCATGAAGACAATGTCATGTGTCGTGCCGACGCATGATTACTCAGATAATCGCTAGGAGCAGGCTCCGCAAACTCGCACTTTTCTGCAAACGGTCAGAAAAATTTTGGGGTGCGGCCAAACCTTTAGCAAGCAGTACCTCCGTGTTCTGCTAGCGGCAGCAATACAAAATTTTCTGCAGGCGCTCGTCTAATAATCTCTTTCAGCTAGCGCTGGCCAAACTTTCAGCACTTTTGGACTCTTTTCACGCAGATTCGGGCATACGTCGAGCAAGTGTGAGGCTCTGTGTGGCAGAGGTGTCATTGATGGTTTTTACTTAAGTTTGAGGTACTTTCTTTTAGCAGAAGGTGCCTACGGGCTGTGCGGTTCTCAGCAAAGGACCGTGCGCTTCCTAGCAACTTTGCGTACTCTCGCGGAAAGTCCGGTATGCGGCTACTGCCCCGCAACTAATCTATAGAAAAACCGTGGGTACTCCGAGCATTCATCCAAAAATGGTCACAAATCTTCCAGCTTTCTGCAAGCGGACCGCAAAAAATCATCGAATTAATTTCCGATGCCCGCTTGCCCAAAAATCGCATGGCCGCCTGCCTACGGCGATTACCTGAGTAGCTGTCTATTACGTCCGGAGTGGTTGATTTCAATCAACAGACTTCCACAAGTCTTCTGTAGGCAAATTTTCTGCTTTTTATAGGTTTCTAGCTTTTCTGTTCTTACGTTTACTGATGCCTCAAAAAATCCCGGAATTTATTAGGTTGATGCAAAAGAAATGGCCGATTTTCCAAGCCTTTTTTTAGGGCAACTTTTTTCCATCAATACTTCTTCTTTACAATAGACGTAGTATACCATCGCAAAACTGTTTTCATGCTCTATCTAACGGTGCTTGAAACGGGCCCTCATACTCGTCTGTTATAAAGTTACTAAGCTTCAAATAATCTCATCAAAATTCAAAATTTTATTGCATTTACTTTTCCGGCCAGAGTTCAAGCGCGATCAATGGGATTTCTTCGAAAATTTAGCTGTTGTATGTAATAGGATTGCCTACAATATGCATGCTTAATTGTATTCTTTGAAGTTATCCAGACTGGGATATCGGCGCCTAAACATGGGTAGCTGTTGCGGTCATTTTCTGACCCATAATTTTCTTCTGAGGAAGTCCGTCGCCGAAGCTTTGCTCAATTCTGTAAGCGTAGGGCTAGGACATTTATTAGCAGTTTTTGCAAAAACATCCAGCTGTTCAGTACGTAGAAAATCAGAAAACTCTATATTCCGGACTTTGAGGCACACCGAATAAATGTTGAAAAAACTAAGAAATTTTAAATTTCAATTTTTTCTTTCTCGCAAACTTTTTTGTCCGAATTCTTTTTATAGTGTTTTGTACTACTGGCTTGCGGCTACAGATTAGGTCACTTATCATTCATACTAAGAAACTGAAGGAAGATATGTCAATAACAAGGTTTAACAGAAGAGCCTTCTTGTCTTTTAGTCCGTATTTCTTCCGTTAAGGTCTGAGTATAAATGAATATGCGCTGTATTACGAAAGGTTTGATACTTCTGAGGGTTTTTACCGCATCCAGAAATGTGGATCTCTTAGAAAGTTATAGCACGTCAAAGTGAGAATTTGCAAATCGGTCATTACTTCTTAGAATTTTGTCTATTTTTCGTTCATTGGCTACGCATCACTTTCCTTTCTTTATTTGAGTAAAAAACCATTTAATGCATGGATATTGAATTAGTGCACACTATACTTGGGAAAATTCGAAATTTTTTTCGAATATTCGATTATCGAATAACATCGAATATCGAATATCATTCGACTTTCGAATATCATTCGACATTCGAATATCATTCGAAACTTGAATGTCTTTGTGATATGATAACGGCCAAGCGCATAGTTTACAAGTACTGTGGGCCTTTGTAGTTCTCTTTTATACGAGTACTACTCTGCAGTACGAAGTATATCTCACAAGGGGGGGGGGGACTTGGTCAAAGTGACATTTATATGAAATACATATTGTCTTATATCTGCTTTTGTTATCTGCAAAGCACTTCTGGGAGGGAAGACATAGGAATTTTTTGAGTGAAAAATTCAGTGGTTCGGTCAATAAAGCAAGTGACACGACTTTTCGACGTTTGAAAAGAGCAATGACTAGCATAAGATTATTCGATGGAAGTTATTAGCATGAAGCGTCCTGGCAATAATCGTGGTCTAGTTTGAGCTCACAGACTGGAGTTCTGCATGATTTTATTGTGACCGCGCGTTCAAATTTTTGCCTCAAAAATTCCCATAACTTATCTCCCAGAAACGCTCTGCAGATATCGAAAACAGATGGAATTAGCGTTCAATGCTTTATAAGGTAATATACATTTCATGTGAAAAGGCCACTTCGACGAAGTATCCTTCCTTTGTCAGCGCGCTGCGCGGACTCTCGTCATCCAGCCCGTGCTGTCGGCGCCTTCACGATGCACATATAGTATACATATTGTTGAACTGTATAAGTGCCTCTCGCTGGCAGTTCCATATGCTAGACCGCTGCTGGAAATACTATACAATGATTGGTTCTACCATACCCCTCTTCTCACACTACAACAAACGACGAACTTTTTGACCTAACACTAGTCCTTCCTACCACTGTTGCAATTACTTTGTATACGCCTTCAATTTACGATGTAAAGTGGAAGTAACGCTGCGACGATATTACGACTATTTTCACGTTTACGTTCACATCTATCACCTTTTCCGAATGCGAATAAAGAACACCGTGCACTAGACTTCAGGCTCATTAACAAAAGTCAAGTTAACAATTCGATTTTCTAAGCTAAGGCACTCAAAACTTCAATACATCAGGAAATCCCAAGGTCGGTGATAATCTGGTCGAAAACCATGGTTGCTCACTTAACTCTGAGTCATATCTGAGCTAACGCGCACCCTTTTTACCCTTTTCAGCAAGTGAATAGACGAAAAATAGAAAGCGATGATATGGCAGGAGACGACTCCGTAATCGGTAGTTTACTCTTAATAGGAAAATATCGTCGAATCGTCGTTCTGCACAAGAAACAGCGCCACCAAACGCGTAGCT